TCCCTGGTCTCTCATCACACCATTTCCTCCTAGAAGCTTCTCATGGGCATTTTGGACTGGTACAAGCACTCTGCTGTCCTTAGAAAGCACCTTGTGCATGCTGCAGTTAGAATCAAGCCATTACCACTGTCATGTGACAGTGATTTACTGAAGTTTCTCAAGGAAAAGACTTGTAGTTTTGTTTTGTCTTATATTCCCAGGCTCTTTCTGCCAGGCACATATAGATAACAGATATGCTTAGAAGAAGCAAGATGGTGGGAGATCCAGCAAGCTGCAAACCCTCTGCCTCTACAGTGTATCTGTTGTTCTCCCTCCCCGTCTCCCTGGGAGTGAATAACACGAGATCTTCTCACAGAAGGGCTTATCCTCACCACCAGGGACTGCCATCCAGTTCATTTTTGCTTTAGTTTGCCCTATAAAGCACTAGAGATTTATGAAAATACACACACACCAACCAAACCTGCCAAAGTGACATGAATATCAGCAGGGATGTAGGTGTAGACCCTGAGAGCCTGTTACGTAGGATAGGAGCAGTGCCTATCTGAGTGTATATAGACTAAATACATTCTGTTGTGACAAGTATTTCATGAGATATGGCATCATCCCCACAGTTCTGATTCACAGACTCTGTTCTATTCAGTTGTAAATGTTAGATGATTTCCTTTTGTATATTGCTCGATTCTTTTGTTTTCTTGTCAGTTAATGTTGCTTCCCATGAATTTTAGAAAACAAATGTTTCACATTTCTGTGAGTTCTTTCCAAATACTAACCAAGACTTTAGTACTTGTAAGTTATGCAGATGTGCATAAACACTGGACTTTTGAAGAATGAGTTAGATATGATTTGCAGATAAAAATAAAAAATATAGTGGCTGAAGAGATGGCTCAGCAATTAAGAGCACTGGCTGCTCTTCCAGAGGACATGGGTTCAATTCCCAGCACCCACGTAGCAGCTTACAACTTTCTGTAACTACAGTTCCAGGGGATCTGACACCTTCATACCATTGCACATAAAGTGAAATTAAATAAATTATTTAACGTACAAGATGTATTTACAGAAAGGCACAGATTGGCACCAGGTTGTTAATATCTTGTGACACTGTTTAATATAGCTCAGTATTGTTTAGCTGGTGCAGATTTGGGCCTGAGGATGCTTCAAAATTGTCTCATGGTAGGAACTTGTTTGTGATGTAGCAAAGAACATGCAGTTAATCCAACCTACACTTAAATGATTCAATTTTAACCAAACTCTTCTCTTCCTATTAACCACTGCCACTTAACTGTTTTGTTTTATTTCTTTGTAAAACCCTGAATTAAAATTCTTGGGCACAGAGCAAGGTGCTAGACAGTGGGGAAATAGAACCACAGAAACAGCGGACCCTTGAATCCTTTCCCTCCCATTTAAGTACAAGGTGTTGTGAATTACAGCCGCTACATTATGAAGCCCTGTCTCAAAAAACAACAAACAAGAACAACAAAATGGAAAAGTTTTAGGAATATATTTGTAGCAGTATATGTGTGTATCTATATCAACTGTTGATCATGACTTAGAAAGAAGACATTCATAGTTAATAAGAAAAAACTGTACTAGTACATGAATGAACAAAGAATATGAATATTATTGTAAAAATAAGTGGGAAATCTTTATTAATAATGTTAGAAAAAACAAAACAACGTTAACACTACTGTTTTATCTATAAAACATTAAGATTTTAGGAATTCATACTGGAGAGATGGTTCAGTGGTTAATAGTGCTTACTATTCTTGCAGAGGATAGGGTTTCTGTTTCCAGCACCCTTGTGGTAGCCCACTACTGCCTGTAACTCCAGTTCCAGGGATTAGACATGCTTTAGTGACCTCTGTGGGCTCCTGTGTGCAAGTGGTGCACATATATAAACACGGGTGTACATATATGCTCCCCCCACCCCATCTACATCATTGGCTAGTCTTAGTCATTTTTGCCTGTAGAGTCCATCATTGTAGGCCAGAGCACATCATTTTTCACCTGAGTAACCAAACAGCTTCAGAATTGATTGCCTTTCACCCACTGTTGCTTCTAGATACCTCCATATAGAGAAACAGCTGAACTCTTCAGTAGTCGTGACAGTCTCTGCTCTTGTCAGAAATGTTCAGAGCCACCCTTACTTGAAATTGACGTCTTACATTGTCAGTACATTTTTACCGTGTACAGGTCTTGTGTCAGCACCACCATTTAACCAATAGACACCACTTACCTTATTCACTGCTGCATTCCTAGTGCCTACAACTAGGCCCGACACAATATTTGCTTTGTAAGCCCCCCAGTAAAGAGTTGAGATAGCAAAATCAATGGTCTCTTTTCTCCAGCCATAACCATTGTATACCACATAGGCAGAAGACCCAAATGTTGGGCCAGGGAGATAATTCAGTCGGCAAACTACTTGCTTTGCAAGTATGAGACCTGAGGTCAACCACAAGCACCCGTGTATGAAAGCTGACTCTAGTAGCACACAGTAATCCAAGTGCTGCACAGAGTAACAGCAAGGCCCTGGCCAGCCTGGCCTTCATGCAGAATTCTAGGTCAGAGATTCTGTCTCAAAAACAGATGGGCATTGCCTGAGGAATGACACCCAAGCTGCTCTTTGGCCTACACACACATGCAGACACACTCATGCACACACGATCCATATGCAAAGTAGAATCAAACCGACGAATCCCTTGGGGATATGGTTAAGTCAGTGAAACTCTAGTTGCTTATGTTCCCTCATGTACTGAATAGGAGGCATTGCTGCCTTGGTAATGGCTGGATTTAAAAGGCAAAGGTAAAGCTTGCTTTGCTAATGGACCCCATCCTTGCAGTGCTGCTTTTCCTTGTGTCTTTATTGAGCACCTGTCATATACCGAACATCTTATGAGGTCTTGGAGACATACAAATGTGGTATAAAATTGGTTCTCACTCTTCCAGGACTCTGTAAAAGTCTGCAGGGAGATCATCCCATCACCAACTAAAACCTAAGAGCTCCCCGGGACAGTAGGTGTAGAGGTGGTGAGAGGCGAGCAGTGGAACCAGGTGGGCAGAGGTGCGGTATAGCTGATAGGCTCTGGAAGCAGATGGTCTGGCTTCACCATCCCTTGCCGTTACCAACAAACCTTGTGACCTTAGGCTACTGACTTAGTTATGCTTGTTTCCCTACCTACTAAATGGGGCAATAAAGGGTGACTCATAGAATTACTAACAATAGTAAAGAAACTTGTGGGGCTTTGGTACCTGGCTCCCTAAAGCCCTGCTCTTAACTGTGTCTGCTGTTTCCTAGGTGTTTGTTGGCTGAATTGAACAAATGCTGCTGCCATGGCAGCCACAGTTAGCACTGGGTTGTTTGACAGGGAGGTCTGGGTGACTGAAGTATAGCATGCCCATGAGGAATTGAAGGAATGAGACAAGTGGGAGGTTGGGTAAGTCTTCTTGCAGGGTTGGGGCTCAGTGTGTGACTCTGGTGTAGCCTCATTCTGCAGGTTCTGCCGTGTCATAGATAAAGTGGCCAATTTATCCTGTGGGTCTAACTTTCTTCCCTTCATGTGATTTCTGCCCTTGCATTAATAAAGGGATGTGGGTTTTTTCTATTCAGAATTTTCTGTTTTCTTCTTTCTGCCTTAGCTCCCTACTGCTGCTAAAACAGATGCATAGATACATAGTTGTGACTTTTTGGAGAATGCTGGAAGTGATGGGCCTTGAGACAGATGACAGGACAAGATGTTTCATAGATCTCATATGATCCTCCCTGTTCTCCCTTCTTACCCGCTCCTTCCTACCCCCTCATCCAAACAGATGCCAGGCTCGTTGCACTCTGCTTGACTCCAGGCCTGCTTGTGGTTTTCATGTTCCCATGTCAAATTGTTTTTATTTTCAAACATAAGGTAACTCTCCCATCTGCCATTACTGTTATTCTCTAACCATGTATCTTGAGAAGTTCAGATTTAATCATACCCATATGCATGCATGTGCATACATATATCATACATTGTATCTCACACACACACACACACACACTCCATTTCAGTTGATTTGTTTTGTAGCTTGGTTTCACTGAAAGCCAAGAACAACTTTCTCAATGTGTTCTGTTCTGTGTGCAGCCACTGGCTGTTGTGAACTCATGTTGTGGCTGTTCTGTGCTGAGAGGTACTGGGTCTTGATGGTTTAATTTTGAAAATAGAGAAGAATTGAACAGCTGCAGGTCCAAGGGTACAATGGAGCAGATGTCAGGTGAGAAAGTAGAAACTGCAAACCGATGAGTACTTTATAGCAAAGATTTGAGCTGTTCTTTTTACAAAGTAACTGTGGGATAAGGGGTTAATCAGAGCTGCTGGGGGACCATTTTTTTCTGTTTGTGTCATTATTTCATAATGTCATCTATATACAATATATATACATACAATAATGTTTACTTAAGTGAAGAGATGTAAAATATCTTTAATTTTATGTAGATTTTATGTTGTAATTGTATTCTTAACCATTCACATCTCTTGTGAAGACTTTCATTGATTTCTATTTGCTTTTGATGCAGCTTGCCTTGTATTTCTCTTGGGGGTTGCCATCATCAGTAAAGCAAGATTTTGTTATTTACATGCTCAAGTGACTATATTAGAAAGCCTGCCACATCCTTCCTAGTGTCCTCCAGGTTAGGCTTAATCCTAGCATAAGGGGGTTGTGGAACCAGAGCAGGAGTGGCAATCGAGGAGGCTTTTGCTCACTTGGAGAGTTTGGATGAAAACACTACCATTTATAGTTATGCTGGCCTCAGCCTTCCAGCCACTCTCTGAAGCAGATGAGAAAATGCCTTCTATTCAGGAAGTTGAAGTATGCAGGCAAAAAATCACTCACTACTCTAGTAGGAGCCAGGAACATTAGCTTTGTTAATCTTTAACTAAAAGAATAAATACTCAGCATTGCACAGTCACTGGGATGGAAGCATATCTTTTCCACATATGATTCACTTCTGGAATGTCTGTCTAATTCTCTTTCAGATTCACCCCACCATTTAAAACCTGGAAACATTGGACCACACAAAGCCTCACTGGTAAGGTCTCATTCATTCATTACTAAAACAAAGTGACTGTGTGAAGTTGCTTTTGAAATGCAGAACACACTTTAAGTCAAAGGCATCCCGAAACATGACCGAATATTTGTTTGCACAATTTTTCTCTGAATGATTTATGCATTTTCCATGTCTTGAAAAAAGTTTTTTAACTAAGAATTGAGGCAAGGAATAGACTTGTGACTGCATGCCAGATGCTATTAAAATAAAACTTATGTATAATGAAACCATTTCCAGGCCCATGTTAATGTTCTTGTTTCATGTAGTATCCAAAACAACAAAATGTTCCTTGGCTGAGTAATTTGCCTTGAAGTATGTTGTAGTGGAAATAGATAAACAGCCACAGCATGCTGGGCTGTTTTCTCTTTAGTCTCTTTGTACAGTTTTTCATTATGTGTGTACATGTGTGTCTATGTGGAGGTATGTGCACATAAGTTCAGCTTCCTGCAGAGACCAGAAGAGGGAATTGTATCTTCTGGAACTGTAGTTGGAGATGGTTGTGAGTGTTAGTGACTGAGCTGGGTCCTCAGATCCTCTGCAAGGGCAGCCAGTACTCTTAACCATGGTACCATCTCTCCAGCCCCAGGCCATACTTAGTGCTTTATATTCATTCTCCTCTAACCTTAGTGTGACTGCTGATTATTGTACTGACAGTAACTCGGTGGTGGAAATCTTTTTTTTTTAACTGACAAGCTTGATATGGTATCACTTCCTGATCTTGCAGCTGTAGTCTGTTTGTGGTGTTAGCTTTTGCTCTATAATAAGCCATCCCAAATTTACTCCTCAAATAGCAGTTGTTTGTGTATCTTCAAATTCTGTATGTGGCGGGCTGGGTGTTGGGTTCAGTTCAGTTATATGATTCTTCTGGTTTGTAACTGAGACTATTCATAAGTGAAATCCAGGTGAATGAGGCTTTGTTTCTGGCAGTCGTGTGGCTGTTGACTGAGTGTTTATAATGCCTGAATTATGGATAGCTGCCACTTTAGCTGTCCTTCAAGATGCCCTTGCTCTGCTCACAAACCATCCCTATCTCTTCTACTCCCGATCACACCAACCCAGGCATCTCTCTCTACTACTACCTAAGCCCATCGTCTCTTGCTCAGTCCTTACTATTCTCTTTATTCTTTGTGTGTGGTATTTGTGTCCAAGAAGTCAACCATGGGTGTCATTTCTCAGGAGCCGTTGACCCTGTGTTTTGCTTTTTTTCTCTCTCCCTTTCCTCACTGGGACCTTTAGATAGCCAGTTAGGCTAGCCTAGTTGGTCAGCTAGCCCAAGGGTCTGACTATCTCTGCCTCTCTAGCATTGGAATTACAAGCACAAGCCACCACAGTGGTGTTTTACATGGTTACTGAGGGTTAACTTTAGGTCATCAGGCCTGCACAGCAAGAATTTTATCTACTGAACCATTTCCTCAGCCCCTATGCTTCTTATTTTTTTGTCAGACTAATCTGTTCACCATCACATAAGGCATCTTATTTCATCCTGCTTCCCCCTTCTCCATCTTGAGAGTCTTGCTTGTGTGCGTGCGTGCGTGCGTGCGTGCGTGCGCGTGCGTGCGTGCGTGCGTGTGTGTGTGTGTGTGTGTGTGTGTGTGTGTGTGTGTAAGGGTCAGTCAAATTCTGCTTCATTTTTGCCATCTGTGGTCTCATCTGCTTCAACCCTCTCTTTGCACCTTGCCTACTCTACCCTTTTTGATGCTTTGTTAGCTCTTGGAAAGCAGACGTTTCCATGTGTCTCCCTTGTGGTCCAACAGCACGAGCAGAAAGTATGAGTGATACTTAGTTAAGCTACTTAGAGAGCCCGGCCCAGCACTGGTTCACACCACCCTGCATCCCACCAGAGTCACACTGGGCACCTGCTGCAGCACAGGCTCTTGTTGCTTTCATACATCAGGCTTGGGGACCACCACAGGAAGCAAGTTGTGCCTCATGACTGGCAACCACTTGGTAGTACAAGAACAGGAAACTTGGGTCCCAGCACACACCTCCAGCAGCTTCCTTACAAAACCCACCTTCTGAGCTGCAGTTTCCCTGTCTGGAAAGTGGGAATGATACTTAACTCAAAGCTTACTGGAAATGGGAAAAAAAAAAGATTTTGTATAAAAATGATGCGTAGACCGTAAAGTAGAACTGAAAGACACTGGTTGCTTGTGGATCTCTGACTCCTCAGTAGTTTGAAGAGGGAAGGTACCTACATACCTACATAGCAGTGGTAGAGGAACAGAGAGTGGGAATGTGAGTAGAAATGGTGGAAGTCATCAGTGGTAATAATTAAGGTCTGCTGTTCATTGCGTGGAGACTGTGCACCAGGCAGATTGCCCGGCACACTCCCCACCCACTTGCAGAGCCGTCTTTTTTCTTAGAACAGGTTGTCACTGTTTAGCCCCAGCTGAACTGAAACTCAAAATCCCCCTGCTTCAGCCCCACATGCCATTGTCATCACCACACCCTGCTTTCACGTGTACCATTTGTAGTATTTTCTTCTTTGCCATTGGTGAATTTTTTGTGTATTTTATTTTATATTCTTCAAAATACCTTATTAGATGTACCTGCCCCTGGCAAAGGTATGGTGTTAAAGTTGTCAACCCTTGACAGCTAGACTTTCTATAATAATTTCATTCAGAGAAGTAATTGATTTTTTTCCCATTTTTTTTATTGAGTGATACATTTTCCTCCCTTCATTTCCACTCTCCACTCTTCGCTTCCACCCTTCCCTCTGTCCCTGCCCCATGATCCCAATTTACTCAGGATGTCTTGTTTTTTTCCCTTTCCTAGGTGGATCCATGTGTGTCTCTCTTAGGGTCCTCTTACCTCATTCAGGATGGCCTTTTCTAGTTCTGTCCATTTGCCTACAGTTTTCAAAATGTCATTGTTTTTTACTGCTGATACATTGTATAAATGTATCACATTTTCCTTATCTATTCTTCAGTTGAGGGGTATCTAGGTTGATTCCAGGTTCTGGTTATTGCAAATAATGCTGCTATGAACATAGTTGAGCAAATATGTCCTTGTGGTATGAGTGTGCATCCTTTGGATATATACCCAAAAGTGGTATCACTGGGTCTTGGGGTAGATTGAGTCCCAATTTTCTGAGAAACCACCATACTGATTTCCAACGGAGCTGTACAAGTTTGTACTCCCACCAGCAATGGAGGAGTGCTCCCCTTACTCAGAGAAGTGATTTCAATTCAGTCAGGATTGGTACCAGAAAGAAACCCATAATTTCACAAGGACTGGTCTTCTCATCGAAGGAATTTTACTTTGGGACTTTATTTTCCCTTAAATAAGGTTTACTGGTTACAATTATTCTGCCATTCTAGGTTGTTGACTTATGTGACAGGCATGTTTATCCTGCATGAGCGTTAGGCACAGTTGTGTTGAGGGACTCCAAGACCTTCATCCAGACAGACAGACTCGCTCTCTCTCTCTCTCCCGTTCTTCTCCTTCACCTAAGCTCCATCAGCTTCATTCTTAGCCATGCACCACACTCCATCTCTGCCCCATGGGGGCAGATGTAGCCATCAGCACCAGTCACCATTCTTGCTGCAGGTCCTAGCGAGGGTAACTCTTCTGCTCTACTTCTAATAGTAGTACCAAGGAGGTATTTTGACTGGCCTGGTTTGAATAGCCTGTTGGAATCAGCATGATTAAAAGTGGGTAGTAGACAACAAGCAGTATCTCTTTAACTACACTGTTCATACATCCCATGACCAAAGGTAAGTGTACCATTGCCAAATGGGGTAGGTTCTCTATGAAGGAAAACAATTTAAAAAAAAAGTTTTCCCAACAGACGGGCTGGGGAAAGAAGATGCCAGACAGGCAAAAATTTCTAAGTACTAAAGTGGTCTGATGTAGAAATTTACTAATTTGGAATCAATTAAACTTGAAAGGTTAAAAATTAGATATAACTTTAGTGACACTGTTACTGGTTTCAAGTTTGGTGTCATGATCCAGGCTACCAGTAGTGAGCATAAGCAAGGGCAAGACTGGGTGGCTTTACCTATGTGCTTGGTGGAAAGCTCCTGGATTGAGGATATCAAGTTGCATCCCAAGGAGTTATAAAGTAGTTGGTACCCGGAGGCGATGTTTGAGCTTCAGAGGATCTGCAGACCTTCTGTAATGATTTGCAGACTCCTGTGTATGAGGGATCATGTGTTCCATTATTCCCTCATTGGACCCAGCTGATAAACCATTGTTTGGCTTAACTGTGACTGTTTTAGATTTGGCTAGTTAAGTCTCTGGCATTATTCCCTGTTCTTGGCTCACCTATCGAAGTATAGTGTCCATTGTAAACATGGCTGCTTGTGGAACAGAGAGTGATGTCAGTGGCTGAGCATTTTGCCTTAAATTATGAGATTTTCAGCTTTATAAAGTTTTCACACTCATAGCTGCCATTTACCTAATGCCAAGTTCCACTAGATACTTTATGCACATTATCTGAACTGTATATCTATGCACAGGACTAGCTCTGGGGAGTTTAAATCTGTCACAGTTCATCCTGCCAGGATGAGCACCTTCCAGCTGCCACTCTGGAAGCACAGGACATGGACTCTTCCTTCTCTCCTGCATTTGCTCTTGTAGGCCCCATCTCCACCCTCCCACCCACAGGTGGTGGGATCGAAACCCCAGCACTGGAAGACACTGCTAAAACCATGTGGTTCATTGCTCTCACACTCTGCTCCAGACATGCACATTCTACAGAGACCTGCTCAGCTGAGAGACTAAAACAATGGAGGCTTAGCTCTCAGTTTGGTACGTGATCTGACCACTCTGCTTGCTTGCCTGTGTGATCCTAGGCAAGCTATTTGCCTCTGAGCCAGTTTCCTTATCTGTCAATAGGATAGATACCTGTCTTGTGGAATTGTTAAAGGAACTAAGTGAGTCTCATACCTCACCCCTCACCCCTAACATACACATATAGACACATGTACACGCAAACACACACATCCATGCAAACACACACACACACCCATGCACTCGTT